GTCTTCCAATTGCTATTTCGCAGTTGCTGGGCTTCTACCCCCACTTCCTCAATTCCATTTCCTTTTGCATTTTGGATACTTTCTGTAGGCCTTTAAATTGAATTCAGGGAGCAAATTTCACTGGCTAAAAGTCCCCAGGGACATATCAACATCAATCTGCTGTCTTTCACCATTAGATGCGACTTACATGGATGCCAATCCAATTCGGAGCAAGTCATAAATAAATACCTTTGGTTTTATTTTTAATCCACTTCGCTTCGTATTATCATGACCTCGCTCCTTGCAAGGTGAGAAGCAATACCCTCCCATTATGGTAACTGACTGACTCCACTGCACACTCAATTTCAGAATCTAATTTAGTCCCCCAGGTTCATTGGGTGGAGGGAGAATAGAAATGCCCAACTCTTCACAGCCTGCAATGCTAAAGAAGGAAAAATCTATGTGGGTGACCTTTGCAGGAGGCAGAGAACACAGCCAAACACGTCCTTAAATACAGATTTCTTTTTTAAAAAGGCTTGTCTTATTTATGCACTAGGCCAAGCTGTCTCCTGTCTGGGAAACATGGCACATTTATTAGCCAAGAGCTGTTCTGCATCCTCTACACCAGGCAGGCGGAGGGGCCACCACCAGCAAAGCCATCCTCGGTCACATTCAGGGACACGGCTCTCCCGGCAGTGACCGTGTCCGGGGGGCAGGGTGGTGACAGGCCTGGCCCAGAAAACTAGAGACGGCACTTGCATTTTTATTCTTAACTCTTCCATAAACAACTGATGACCACCTTTGCGGAGACGAAAGTTCACGGGAGGCTGTGCTGATGGTGTTAATGCCATCCAAGACAAGGCGGCGTCAGGCCTCCGCAATCCATTCGCTGCCTGGGTCCCTGCGGCACCCACGGCCAGAGGGCAGCGTGGAGTGCACTCCACCTATCTCTATTGGCCTGCATCCCAAGAATCCTCCCAGTGGACACGGAATGTCTGCAAAGGCCCTTTGTAAAGGCTGTAGGGTCTGTGGTCAGTGAGGGATCAAAAG